CACTGAAACTACTACTCTCTCTCTCTCTCTCTCTCTCTCTCTCTACCTTCGTCCATTCTATCTTCTCTCTACTGTTCTCGCGAAGCCCTAAGAACCAGCTACGTTCTCAGGGTTTTTCTCAGAGACTTAAAAACCCAGAAAATCCTCAATGAACCTCCTTTTCCCGCCATTTTCTCCTCTTCGTTCTCTCAGTCCCAATTCAAATTTCCCTCCAAATTCTAGTTTACTTTCAAGCTCTTACAATCCTAGCTTTCTCCCTCATTTCAGGCGTTGCAGGTGCTCACGAGCCCTATCTGAACCAGAAGGGCTTAACGGGGCCGTGGATTCTTTCACAAAGTACTCTGGTTATTTGTTTGAAAATGGAGAATCAGAAGCAGAGAGCTTGGGGGAATATGATCATTTAAGGATTGCTTCGATATATAGGCGAAGGCCATTTCTTATTTTGAGGAGGCTGCTTCAGATTGGGACAACTCTCGGGAGGTGGTTTGCTCTTCGATATCTTGACAATATGTTGGGACGATCTGATCAGATGTTTAAGGTGAGAGTGGATTTTGGTTGATGATTTCATTTCCTCTGGTGGTATGAATTGCTGGGACTATGAAGTTTTCAGAATAACGTTTTAGCAAATTGTTTCATTTGGACGAATCTTATCTAAGAGTTTAGAGATATAACTTCTGGTGAATTTGTAGGTGAAAATGGTTTAGCAATTTTCCTTGAGAACTCAATAAATTGGAGTGATCTGATTAAATGATTAAGGTGAGATTAAATTTGGTGATTTGTTAATTAGTCAATGGATTAAATTGTTGATACTATTATATTCATAAAAGCATTAGAGAAAATGTATTATTAGGAAAAATTTATTATATTCGTAAAATTATTACAGAAAATGTATTATTAGGAAAAAATTATTTATGGAGAATTTAGGGGATTTTTTGGTGATTTTTTTAGTTTGTTTTTGAGATAATTAGTACCTTTTCTTGAGAACCCAATGAATCGGCTACATTTTTAGCTTGTAATAGGTCTCTGAATTCCCAGATCAACAAAAAAAGATCCCTGAAGTCGGATAAGAGGGTGACACTCCGAAAATCCAATTGGGCTTCTGTAATTTCCTTTATGAGGAACCACATTCATCAGATTTTTCTTCAGCAATAGAATTTAATGATGGAAAAAAAAAATATATCACCATGATTCATGCTTCTTAAAGGATAATTTGTGGAATATAGTAATGAAATATTGTTTGTTATCAGCTAGTGGAGAAAATTTATCTTGTCACAATGGCTTGGAGGATATTATCTATCTTTTTTTAAGTTTCTTTCTGTGCTTATTCTTTTCTAACAAATTGGTTGGTTTTAGTTCTTTTCCTATCGATCTTTTGACCACTTTCATGGGTTTTTGATATAGATGCATCTCGAAATTCCTTGCAGATAAGAGCAGCAGAACTTCGCTCGATATTGGTGGAACTTGGACCAGTATGTTTCTTTTTGAGCAGATCGTTTGCCATTTCGAACAACAATGACTGTATGCTTTGATGTTATTTTTTCGAGGCACAATCTTTTTCTACCATGGAAACCTAGATCTAGTTTAACTTGTACGGAAAATGGCCCATGTAATTACCACTCTGCATGACCTATGTGAAACTGGATCCAGCATAACATAGGATATAGTACTTCCAGAAAACAAGTGCCGAAAATGCAAGGCAAAAAATTAGACCCATGCTAGCTCAGCTGCTCATGTATGCTGGTGTTTCGTTTTTTTGGTTTTTTTGATAATTAATGTCTGGGCAGGGTATCGAGTATCTCATCTTATTTAAGTTAGTTTCTGAACTAATTAATCTTGCATCTTACCCATTTCTTGTTGTGAACCATTGGCCTTATTTCAAGAATATTTATGGGTGTTCAAGTACTTACTACAACTACACCTTGTTATTTCTATAAGGTAGTGTGTTCAATACTACATTTATTGTGATGTTTGTATGTTACATGTAGTCTCATCTAGTCATTATTGATAGCTGACATTGATGTCCTGCATGTAGCTTACGAATAGTGTACTACATGCCTACATGCAGTATGGTGTACTTTCTGTTTCAATCGTAAAAGAAAAATTATTCTGGTTTGAAGAATAATCATGCATTGTAACTTTTTCTTGACTATCACTTTCTAGGGGTACATTACTAAAAAAGCGATTCAAGTTGCTACTCATTTTGCAGGCCTTCATTAAAATTGCTCAAGCAGTTTCAGCTCGTCCAGTAAGTTTATTTTCTCTTTATCTACTTCTTATTGGAAAAAAAACATTCTCCTTACATGCAAACTTTTTTAATTTCATACAATTTCATTTGTTGTAATTGAAAGAGAAGAATTAGATGGCATATTAAGTTTAGACTAAATCACTAACTCAATTTTATTCTCCCAAAATTTTTTATGCTTATCTTTCTTATTTCACATGGATTTCTAGACACTGATAATGTGCCTAGAAACATAATGGTATATGTCATGTTGCTTTGATACAATGTAAAATTAGTACTTGTAGAAAGAGAGAATGGGTGTTGCGATTTGGCATCAGTGTTTTAGTGTTGGGGATTTGGGTGTAGGGATGGTGCTTACTTTAAAATCCTTAGGAAGCACTAACTGGAATACTCTGGATGCTACTTAACTGATTTATTTTACATGCTGCTTCCTTGATTTGTACATCTTTCCTTTGGTTCTTCTTTCTTTATTTTCCTTGTGGCATTTGTTGTGCTTCTATGAATAGTTGAACTATTTCTGTAGGATGTAATACCACCTGCTTATCTTGATGAGTTATCATTGTTACAAGACCGGATTGCACCTTTCTCAACTGAGCTTGCGTTCAGTACAATAGAAGAAGAGCTCGGATTGCCAATCTATACGTTCTTTTCAGATATTTCTCCAGAGCCAATTGCTGCGGCATCACTTGGGCAGGTTTGGTGGATCATATCGATATATTACCTAAGGCTTTCTAACCTCCAGGCTTTTATATGATATATCATAGTAATCCTATGGGGTATGTAAAATATTAAGAAGTTTTTGATACATTTTCTTGCAGGTTTATCAAGCTAGGCTTCGTCGTAGTGGAAAAGTTGTTGCTGTTAAAGTGCAGAGGCCTGGGGTTCAAGCAGCCATTTCTTTAGATATCTTTATCATGCGTTCCCTTGCTGGATACATAAGGAAAGCTGCCAAATTCAATACTGACCTTCAGGTAATACTAAATAGCAGATTTCTGGTAGCACCATTGTGTGTGGTCCTTCATTTTCTTATGTTTTATTGAAAGGTCATCTAGTTCAAGTTGATACATTTGAGTAACCTTCTTTTTTCTTGCAGGCGGTGGTTGATGAATGGGCATCCAGTCTTTTTCGGGTATTCCTATTTTTAAATTTATTGCTTTGTATTAGTCTACATTTTAACCAAGGTTTGGTCAATTGAACCATTATACATATTTAATTTGGTGCCATAGCTATCCCATAATGATTTTAAGATATTTTTCGTTGATTTTGTGCAAATTTTGAAGGGGACAACTTAGCATTGTTATGGCTTATAAGAATCAGTTTGACTGGTGTTGGGCAAATATTCGAAAGGAAAAAATTTAGTAGTCCCAACTATACCAAAACGGTATAATCAGTATGTGTAATCTCTGGTTCATATGATTGCAGCCTCTTTGCAAATCTTTCAATAACTTTAGGTTGAAGTATTAAACCTGTGCAAGAGACATGAGACTCATCCAAATCAACATGGATGGTAAAATGATATTTTGTGAGTGGGGGTGGAGAGAGTGAGTGGACCTGCCATTAGGGTCCTGCTTGTCTGTGTCCCACTTTCTCTGCTACTGTGCATCGTTTCAGATGACCATGGTTGATTTTAGTATACTTCCCTTTTCATGATTCTGATCCTGTCATGGAAAAATTCCAGGGTAAGAAATTTAAAGGCTTCTTTGTTCAATCAACCATGAAATTATGAAGCCTGTTTAATCTTATCAAAGTGGTTGTACTGTAATCTACTGGGAGAGATAATGATTTACTTTACTTTTTGTATATATTAGTAATATGATCTCGCTGCTATTCTATGCTAGTTACTGTTAATTTTTTGTAACAGTTGTAACTTATTTGATGCTATAACTGAATATTGTATTGTGAGGTATTTATTCATGTTCTTAGAGATCTACATTGAATACAGGTAAATCAAATTTAATGCAGGAGATGGATTATAACGCAGAAGCAAGGAATGGCCTAAGATTCAGGTAGCATCATGGTTATTTATTTTGGTGTTCTTTATGGTAAAAATAATCTTCAATGTTATGGATTTGTTTTACAGTGACCCTGCAGCTCCTCACATTTGCTTTTGATTTTTTTACTTTGGTACTTGGATTTGTTTGTCTTGGAATCTTGTTAAGATTTACTACTGGTAAATATGGATTAATTAGACTTACAATCAGGCCAAATTGTGCATTAAAGTCTTCTTTTGAGGTTAGTATGAAAAGCTGTATTTTGAATTTTTGGGGCCATTCAATAGAAGAATATACATGGCTATAATGGTTAGAGCATTCCTTGTTTTTGTAGGTGAGATGTAATTTTAGCCCTTACAATGGTTGTGATGCCACCTACCAATTATTCATTGATGGATAGTTGTTTATCAAGCAGTCAGCAATTTCATGTGTGGAAACAAATCTATGAGTGTATCACAATGCGCACTAGTATTGCTCTTGCTCAGATATACATTGTGTTTCTTGAGCTACTATGATTTGCCCAACTAAGTCAATATCTCATGCATACCTGTCACACGTACTTTCACATGCTTGTGTCCCTTATACACATATAATCTCTCCATCTGATTCTTGCAATATAAGTGCCAAAGGACCTCTTACTTGGTCCACACTAGACGCCTTCCATGTTGATAGCAAAAACGTGCACTGAACCTACAGCTGATTATCCTGCAGTGATGGCAGGCATAATCTTACATATATGTGAAACTCCTGTGCTAGTGGTAACAGTGGCCCTTCAAAACTTCAATTCCTTTATATTGGCATCAGTATAATTCATCTAAAATGACAAAGCATGGTGTAAGCTTTTGCTGCTTGCTATATTAACTTCTCTGACTTAATTGTTTTACCTGATTGCAACTTCACAGATAGAAAATATTGTGGGCCATCCTGGCCCTCTTTTTAAAAATATTTAAGGAGACCTTAGAAATCTTTATTTATTCAAACTTCCTATTCTGTCACCTTTCTAAAAATGCCTATTGAGTCACGGGTACTGACATGAAGCAGATAGATGTTCTTTACACTGTTATTAAGTGAGTTGTGCGGAAAGATCTCAAGAGGGAATTATGTGGACCCACTTTTGAAGATGACTAGATAGTAGATTGGGTGATGGTCTTAGCGCGGTAACTTATGAATTTCACGGAAGACTTAAAAGATTGTTTGATGCTGGATATTTATGTACTGTATATTCTCACTGGTTATATTCTTTTTTTCCTCAAACTACATTCTCTTGCATGTTTCAATCATGAGTAAATGAAATTCTAGGATAGGCCTAATTTCTTTCTCCTATGCACATGTTCCCTTAGAGAGCTGTACGGGAAGTTGCAAGATGTATTTATACCAGAAATGTATTTGGATCTGACCAGTCGCCATGTGCTAATCATGGAGTGGGTTGAGGTGATATCTTTCCCCATTCTTCTCTCTGTTGAACTTGAAGTATTTTCTGTTCTTCATATACATATCTGCTGATGCTGTTAATGTTTGATCAGTGTTAGCTTATTAGTGCATTTTATGTAGGGGAAAAAATTAGCAGAAGTCAAGGACCTTCACCTTGTTGAGGTACCGCAGTGCTTGCACTATTTTTGTCTGTCATGTTCAATTAGGTATTATTTACTTCGGAGTGACTCACTGCAAATTATGGACTTGGGCATATGACAGGTTGGAGTTTACTGTTCTTTAACTCAGCTTCTAGACTATGGATTCTATCATGCTGATCCTCATCCTGGCAATCTTCTACGCACATTTGATGGGCAGCTAGCTTATTTGGGTAATTATCTATATGATTTAGTAAATGGATAAGTGACTCTTTGATATGTGAGCTTAAGACAGATGCTTACAGTTTTCACAAACACAATCCTTATAATTTAAGTGGATTAAGCTGAAAAACTTGTCTTGGAGATTTAGTAATTGGGGCAACTAAAGAACTAAAGCATGTCACCACACATTTTTGGCTTTCTGTAACCTTTTGTAATTTTAAACTAAGAATACTAGAAGATGCTCATATGATCGAGGCACACCTTGCATTTAGTTTATTTTCTAATGGTAGCAGGTGCAGTTCCTATGGAAACAAAGTGCACTTGTAGCATAACTCTTAATCTTATAAATTTATATCGTGTGAACTCATAATTCAAAAGGAAAAGAGTTTGATGAGGGTGATGAAAGATGGATGCTAGTGATGGATGCTAATGATAGATGTGATTTGACTGGAAAATGATTGAAAGGATACACTGGGACATCCCTAGGAAGTGCCATGTGAAGAAAGAGAACCCTTGCATAGAGTCATCTATTTCCTCACTTGTGGGTATTTGTTATATATTATATCTCTTATCGTTTGTTTGAATTACAAATATGGATGGCAGATCGTATAGTTTGTGTTACAAGTTTAGGATTATCATGACCCTAGATGACAATTAAATAGTACATGAGTTGCAGAATGCAAGAATAAGAAAGCACAATGGACATAAATGTCCATTATATGAATAATGGGGAAGCATTTGTGCGTATTTCAAGGCATTTTGGATTTTGCAGGTTTTGTATTGTATCATAAGAGCAATTTTAAGTATGGTGAGGCATGGTTAGTTATCCATAATTGCATTGGAATTTGGGCACCATTTAGATATTTTATAGTTTCTAATGATGCTTTTGCTAGGCTTTTAAGTTCCTGCTCACTTAAATATTGTTTTTGTGGCTTTAAAGATCTTGCGAGGCTTTTAAATTGCTCATAACTCTACTTGCTGCTCCAGATTTTGGTATGATGGGTGAATTCAGACAAGAACTGCGAGAGGCTTTTATTGAGGCATGCCTTCATCTAGTCAATCAAGATTTTGATGCCTTGGCTAAGGATTTTGTCACCCTTGGGTATGTAAAATCTCTATATTCTGTTGTTGAAAACTAGGTTGTGGCCGGGAGTTAAGGGGGCATTCTTCATGTTTGATACAGGCTTCTTCCTCCAACTGCACAAAAGAGTGAAGTGACAAAGGCATTAACTGGTACTTACTTTCTGACTTGCACCTTGTTATGCTTTTTTTTCAATGTGTGTATTTGCTTATACGAAGTTCGTCTGTTTTCGTTATTCTGTTATCAATGTCAACATGTCACAAACCCTTCAAAGTCGATGATGAACAACCACTGGCACAAATGAGTTGCTATTCAATCATACTAACACCAGTGTTACCTGTTTGTAGGTGTTTTCCAAAATGCTGTGTCCAAAGGAGTACGGAATATAAGTTTTGGAGATTTATCTGGAAATTTGGGCCGAACAATGTATAGCACTTTTTTTCAGAACTATTGTGAATAATATTGATGCTCTCCAGTTACCCAGGCGTTTTTCTTCTTGTTGAAAGTTCAGTTGTCTTGAAGCCAAACAAGAAATTTTAGAATTAATGCACATGAAAGGAGATATTGATTGGAAATAAGATATGTATACACAAACACACACACACACACACGCACGCACATATATATATATATATATTTCCTTACTATGGCATCTAAAATTTCCTCTAATTAAGGAATATACATTCTCTGCCCTGTGGCCCTTGTGAATCTGGTCTTCAGTCACAAAGTCTCGCTAATGATGCTGGGCATTAATTCGATGATTTTTTTGATTTGGTCTTTTATCAAATTGCATGATTGGCCCATAAGCATCCCGGTTTTGGTTTCAGAATTATATGCCATAATATCCCAAGGTGTGTTCTGTGAATGTCCATATAATTAACTAGTTTTAGAGTGGATTGCACACATGGCATAGAGAGACAATACTGGAAAGAGGCATACTTAATCTGCTTGAGCACCCAAACTAGAAATGTTTTGGATACTAATGAAGGTACCATCCCTTGGAGATATGAGGTGCCTATCACATATGCAATGCTACTTTCTCTGGCTGTTCCCATGCTTACTAGTCTTGGAGGTCACATATTGATAATGTAGCACGGCAAGTACATGTAAATGCACCAAAGAATTTTACTTTTTTGCCTACGTTATTTACTGTTTTGATATTTCTATGTGTATTGGTTTTTGTTAATGTCAGTCTTAAACATTTGTTTCAGGTACAAGTTTAAATTCCAAATACCGTCATATTTTTCACTTGTTATTCGAAGGTAAAAGTGTTATAATCAAAGAATTACTTCTTTTATTTGTTTAGTTTTGGTTCTTAATATATGTCTAATCATATTTTAGTTGCATATTTTGTTCAAGTTTTTGCTCTTTGTTAGAACTATATCATCCACATCATTTTGTGGAAAGCAAATACCTTTTTGTAATACGTCATGCTTCCAGGAAAACCTTATTTAAACAAAAAATAACCACTTACATTAGTAATGTATGAAGGAGAAAAGGTGAGAGAAAATTTTCTTAAACGGTTTCAATTTATCTGTTGTTGATTCATGGTTGCTGAGAGGGCTCTTGAGGTTTCCATCAAATTTCAGAATCTTTTAACTACTGTAGAGTTTCCTTCTAACTTTTAATTGCTGTGGAGTTAATTTGACGTTCATTCTGTTATCTCAGCCTTGCTGTTTTAGAGGGCCTTGCAATTGCCAACAATCCAAACTACAAAGTGCTCAGTAGTTCGTACCCATGGATTGCTAGAAAGGTCCTCACTGATAGCTCGCCTCAGCTTAGATCAACCCTTCAAGCTCTTCTCTACAAGGTATGCCTTCTCCCACTTGAGGCAACTTAATACCACGTTTCAAGATAACCAGAAGCATTTCGAACTTCGACTGCTAATTTTCTACATTTTATGACTATCAGGATGGGACATTCAGAATTGATCGTCTTGAGTCATTACTAACTGAGGTCAGATATATGCTTTGATTAATTTATGTTGATTCAAATTGCATGATGACTATCTTAAGATAAGAGAGATTTCATGATTACTTCTTGAACCATTACTATGGTTGTTCGTAGAATGGAAATATGTGTGTGTGTGTGTGTATGTGTATAGAAAAGCCCTTTTATCTTGAAGTTGATTGATATATTCTCAGAAACTGGTCATTTGAAACTTTATTCTGCATTTCTTTTTGTCAAGTTTCCAAGAAAGAAGCATAATTCTTGATCAGTTTCCTCAGAAATGTGATTTCTGGCTAGCATTGACATTCCTACTGACAAATCCTGATTTGTTCTGTCTTTGCATTCTTTGCCTCAGTCCCTACGGTCAAGATCAGAGGAATCTTTGGCCAAAAGAGAATTGAAGGAACAGGATTCTAGTGTTGTTTCCAAGCAACTGCTTTCCTTCACGCTGAGTGAGAGGGTAATATCCTAGTACATCTGGTTTTATTTTTCGAATCTTTCAGTCAAATATCACTTATGAAATAAATTTCTCTGAAAATAATTTTCTGGTTTACCTTCGTTTTTTTCTTTTTTTTTGTTGCAGGGGGAATTTGTGAGAGATGTTCTCTTGGAAGAGTTCACAAAGGTGAGCTTTCTGATTCTGTTTTATGCTCTTTCTTGATCTCTTAAAATTCTGCAGGAACTGAATGCTACCATTCCAAATACATTTAGGGCTTGGAAGCACTTGGCATTGCAACCTTCGATTCTGTTGCTTCAAGCCTCCCATTTACCAACTCCTTTACAACTGTATTTCAAATGGATGAAGAATATATCAGAAACTTGAGGAATTTTCGCCGCCTTCTACAATTATTATCAGGGCTCGAAAGGAATGAAGACCCAAATGTGGTATGAATAGATTATAATTTTATTATTTGGGAAACTATGAGTGGTCATGAATTTCTCATGATGGTTTTGCGAAGAAAGAGCCATACACTTGACATTTAAATTTCACATAAAATTATCATGGCATTGAAGTTTTCTATTCATTGTTTTCATCTTTTTCATGCTCTGCATGGTAACTGGTTCCAAAATCCCAGGTGTATCATTAATTAAATTAGAATGTTTGGAATGATTTTTTGCCTTCAGGCTGTTAGAGAGGCCATTGTTGATGCCACCCAAAAAGATCAAAAGACTTCTTACAGGGAGTTATCATACATTTTTAATGAATTGTCTTCGATTCAGGATCCCTTGCTTTTAATTTCTGCTGTTCTTGAGGTAATCCATCCAAAACGTTTGTTTATATACTCTGTCATAAATTTTTTCGTCTATTGCTTCATTTTGTCTAAAGTGGAATCTCTCTTCCTAATTTTTTTCCTTGGTATAGCTTCCACCTGAAATGCAGCTTCAGTTTTTCAATCTACCGGCAGATATAGCTGGAAGACTAGCATCTCGGATTGTGGCGAGAACCATCAGGTCGGCTGCTTTGCAAGTGATCGAGTGAAATATTTATTTAAAAGAAATTCATATATCTCAAGTGAGATATGATCATTCTTTGTTGATTATAGCTGCAGTAATCTCTGATTGCATGAATTGAAAATGATGTTAACATATGGTAAAATTGACTTTTATCTATTTGTCAAATATTTGATTTATGAAACAACATTATTTCTCAGAGTGATTGCCAAGAGCTAATCAGCAGCAAGATTTTCCACACAGGTAGGCTGTACATGTGTTGATAATGCGTGTTTTGTTTGACCTTTTATCTGTCTGCCGGGCATCTTGATAATCATCAGCATAAGAATCAGAGAATCACAAAGTTTGATCCAAGAATTACAAATCGAGAACTGCAAAATGCCAATGTGTGGTCATATGAGCCGAGATGGAACTGCAGACCTAGTGGTTGAGGCAAAGAGCTCATATCAATGGCTGCTAGACGTTTATAAGAGGAACCGAGAAATTGCTCTTCCTGAAATGTATGAAGGCTCGTGCCACTTCATTCTCTCTCTCTCTCTCTCTCTCTCTTGAGCAATGGTTACAGCAGGTTTAAATTACAAACCAAATGGTTAACCTAGAGCTCAATGGTCAGACACCCCTAGTCCAAAACATACAAAAGAAATCTGGTATTTCACTATTTTTTCTACTTCTACTTACCCCAGACGATGAGCAAAAGCAAAAGTCTGATTCAGTAATCTGGCAAGCATCAAGACTCTGTGCTGAGTTTGTAGTATTTTTCAACAAACAAGCAGCCGAATTCTCAAGAAAATCTTCTGCGTTTATTTAAACATTTGTACTTTTGAACAATTGTAATTTCAGTTATGTACAGAAGCCTCACTGAGCAAAGAAATAAGAAAACAAAACAATGGATGCAGGCCAATTTGCAGTCACGACTGATCCATCTAAACATAATGACAGCACATAAACATAATAAAATCAACAGCACCAAGACCAGAGAGAGAGAGAGAGAGAAAGAGATAGATAGTCGCTTGTGGTTTCCGGATATTAAGTTAGCCTTGCATTGGAGTTCTTGCAGCTTAGAAGGTTCTTAATCCTTTCAAGTGCCTGCCCAACCAAAAGGAAAGTGTGATTTCCTCGATAACCAAACATACACCAGAGCTCGACTTAATATGGAAAAAGAGTGAAACCAAAGAAACAAGAAAAATCAAAAGAGAAGAAAAAGGAAAAGCCTAAAGATGAGAGTAAAATGCACAACATAAGGAAATTTTTGGAAGGAAATTTATAATTTGGAAGATATCTTGGAATTATAATTTTGAAGATTGTTAACATGCTTCAGTTGCAATAACTGTTGGAGTGGGAGTGGGTAAATCATTGTGTCCCTGTTCAGCAGCAATATCTGCACTAGTAAACCAGTGCATGATGAGTCCTATGGTATCAAGGAGAGAAGAAAAGAGTATTATTTACAAAAGAGTCCTCACCAACACAAGCTATCATTTTTCATATGTGTTTTGTCATTTAAACAAAATGAAACACATATCATTGAAGAGAGTGCTATCATTTTTTAAGGTATGGTTTTTAGAAAGGAAAATGCGTTTGATAGGGCCGCTGTTGTATCAAAATAAGTAAAGCCTCCACTCAAAACTCGTTGAAAATTACAATTGTGACGTTTGAAATCTTCACATTGATCATTTTGCCTTGGGCATTATGGTTGTGAAAACAAATTAAGATTTGAAGTCTAAAAATATTGTATATTGTAACACATTATCTAGATTGTCCATTTTGCCTTAAAAATAAGTCTTCATGGATATTTGGATTTGTATTTTTTTTTTAACTTCAAATTTTATAGTCAGTGTTGGAAATTGATTTTAAAGCAATCATGGAGGCTTCTGATGCCCAAATTGCTTTCTGGATGAGGGTTCAACATGAGGCTTACTTTGTTTTCATCGAGCCTAGGCCTCATAAAAACTTCGTCCTTTTCAGAATTAGTCAATATTTGGAACTCAAAATTTAAAAAGTTTTCAAATATTGGCACCATATGCATCTCAGTACTTACCAAACAGTGAAACCTTGGTAACATTATAAAAAAGGAAATAAGAAAAAGGGCAATGAAACCTTGGCATCTGCATTGGCATATGCTTCATCCTTTCTTTGAACAATGCCATGTGCCCGTGTGTTGTAAATAGACCTGCAGGAGCAAGACGAGCCATGCACAATCAAATACCGACTCCTTTTGTTATATTCTTGGACCAAAGGAGTTCATATAAGGCTACACCTTATCCATCTTAATAATTCATTGGAAAAGGCTATTTAGATGTTAGAAAACCACTTAATCGATCCCAATATCGAAATGTCTGGATATGGAAAAAAAAAAAAGAATTTAAATCTTAAAAATAATGCATCTTGTCGCAAATTAAATTGTCTATTTTCAAGATTTTCGTACGTTTATAGATACACTTAATTTAATCCGTTTATGGAGTTCTTATAATTATAGATAGTATATATGCTATGAGAAAAACTGAGCCACTCAACTTTAGAAACCATCCAGCAAAATACGTATCGTGCAAAATTCATCTAGTTCAGTTGGGCATTTCTTATTTCTGTTTATTTGAGAGTTTTTGGGATAAATGAAATTTGTTTAAAAAATTTAGTTGTTTCATGTAGTTCCTGTAAATTCATCAAAAAAAAAAGAAAATAAATGAAATTATATACAATGAGGTCACAAGTACTTATAACCATTCGATGTGAAATCTGATAGCTTGAGTGTGCTACAAAACACCAAAAAAAAAATTTGAACTTTAAGCTTTGTTAATGAAATAAATGCAGCCATCCAATTCCACATATAATGATCAAGATCAATTTTTACGTACTAAAAATAAATAGTGTCATTCCCAAATAAAAAAGAGAACATATATAAGTGAAGTAATCAGGCTCAAATTAGGCATGAAATCTTAAGTTACATTGCTCATGAAATCTTAAGTTATTATAGAGACCCAAGCACCCCAAGCCGAAATTTAGCCGAAATACACCGAAATTCCCCCCCCCCCTCCCCGCGCCCGAATTCCCTTCCTTTTTCCTTCATGGCACCCCACTCAGACCCCATGAAATGCTAACCCAAACAACCTTCATAGCGGCCCACCATCTTCTCTCTCTCATCCCAAAATGCACCTCTCTCTCTCACCTCAAGCCCCTGCACGCCCGCCTCATCCGAGCCGCCCTCCACCTCGACCCCTTCGTGTCCGGCCGCCTCGTCGAGCTCTGCGCGCTAACTCTCCCTGACCAAATGCACTATGCCCGCCGTGTCTTCGCCCACGCGCCGAGCCCAAACCTCTTCACATGGAACACGCTCATCCGCGGCTACACGCGGGCTCATGCTGCGCGCGACGCACTTCTAGCCTACCGCACCATGCGCGCCCACGGCACCGTGCCGAATGGCTACACACTGGGGTTTGCCCTCCAGGCCTGCGCCCATGTGCGCGTGGCGGACGAGGCCCATGAGGTCCATGCTGACGCAGTGAAACTCGGGCTTGCACATGGCTCAGTGGGCCTGTCGCTTATGAGGGTGTATTCTGTGTGTTGCAATGTTTACTGCGCACGCCAAGTGTTTGACGAAATGCCTCAACGAGGGTCCGGTGTTTGGGGTGCTATGGTGGCTGGTTATGTGCAGAACGGGAAGCCGAGCGAGGCCTTGGGTGTGTTTAGAGAGATGCAAAAATCCGGCCAGGAGGTTGATGGATTCACTTTGGCTAGTGTTTTAGGGGCCTGTGGGGCTCTTGGTGCTCTGAACTTGGGTAGGTGGGTGCATGCGTATATAGATAAGTATGGCGTTGATTTGGACGTGGTTTTGGCGACTTCGCTTGTCGATATGTACTGCAAGTGTGGGGACTGGAGAAGGCCAGGTTGGTTTTCGAGGCCATGCCTTATAAGGATGTGATGGCTTGGTCTAGCATGATCGGTGGGTTAGCCATACATGGGTTTGGAGAGGAGGCAATGGAATTGTTTTCAAGAATGAAGATGGCTAAGGTGAGGCCCAATAGTGTGACATTCACCAGCGTGTTGTGTGCGTGCAGCCATGCGGGGTTGGTGTCTGAGGGCCATAGGCAGTTTGAGAGCATGCGTTTTGAGTATAGCATCAAGCCAGAGCCAGAGCACTATGGGTGCATAGTGGACATGCTTTGTAGGGCTGGCCAATTGCACCGAGCCCACGAGTTTGTAATGTCGATGCCTGTGAAACCCAATGCTATTATGTGGCGGACACTACTCAATGCATGTGGGATTCATGGCGATATTGGGCTGAGTGAGATCATCACTAAGCACTTGCTTGAGCTTGAGCCTCAAAGAGGGGAGAATTACGTGCTCGTTTCCAATGTGTACGCTAGTCTTCGAAGGTGGTCTGATGTTTCGGAGATTAGGGGTTTGATGAGGCACAAGAGGGCTAAGAAATTCCATGGATTTAGCTCAATAGAGGTTGGCAGCATTTTGCATGAGTTTGTGATGGGGGATGAATCCCACCCTCAGTGGAAGGACATATATGAAATGCTTGGAAAGATAGGTGCTAAGTTGAGTGCTGAAGGGCATGTTGCAGATACTGGGAGTGTGTTACATGACATAGATGAGGAAGAGAAAGAGTATGCCTTGGGGCTTCATAGTGAGAGGCTGGCCATTGCCTTTGGGCTACTTAATGTGGGTGAGGGGTGTCCAATAAGAGTTGTAAAAAACCTTCGTGTTTGTCGTGACTGCCATTCGGTCACGAAGATTATATCACAGGTTTACGAGAGAGAGATTATTATAAGGGATCGAGTGAGGTTTCACCACTTTAGAAATGGGTCGTGTTCGTGTCGAGATTATTGGTGAGATTTTTGGGTTGGCATGGGTTATACTTACACATCAGGAAGGTGGACAACTCCGGTGAACCAAAACTCATTGACACAATCAACCATTTGGGGTGACCTCAAGAAGGCCTTAACCTGGCCCCATATGGACAATTTAAGTGTTATTTACAGTTACAGTTAAGTGCACAGCTACAATTAATGCTGCAGTCTCAATTCACGACCTGGTTGAAAAAGTCACTTAGAATCAACAAGCACCACAGTGATGAAAGAGCATTACTCGCAAGAGGAAGGACCTGCTTAGAATGAATGTGGAAGCAACATTTCCTTGAAAATCCTGCTTGTGAATTCCATAAACTAGGTTGTCATTTGTCATCAATGTACACCATGGCAACATCGATTGCCTCTATTCTTTGTTTCAATTTTAACAAAAATGTTGATTATTCATAAAAATATACTTTCTGAAATGCCAGATTTTCCTCTTATTTGTTTCTAAAATGTAATTTTGAGAAGTTGATGGATAACTTAAAATTTAGCTGTAAAACATTGCATTACTTTATACAAACTTAAGATGGGATATTGATTGAGTTGATAGTAACCATAAGGACTGTTTGGGTAGACCACTAAACACATTTAATTCTGTTTATCAAATACGCTAGGTTGGGCATTGTTCCACAACATATTTGTCTTTGTCCATTTTTTACCTTGCTTTTTTGAAAAATGCTGCATATATGCTAGTAAATCTAGTTATTCTCAACAAAAGAATGACCAGTTTTGCTTTCAATCGCATTAAGAGCTAGTCGACACTACACCACAGTGGCCAACAAAAATGACCTATAGAGATATTAGTCTACATCTCATCACCCCTAACTTGCACCTTTCTTGTTAACTAGTTTTATTATATGTTGCACATATAAAGAGACAGGCCTGGAAAGAGGCGTACTTAATTTGCTTGCATACCCAAACTAGAAATTTTTTTATTCTAATGAAGGTACCATCCCTCTCATATCCCGGAGGCTTCGCCCACATTTTTTGTAGCTTTCTGTTCATTTCAGTATTTTTTGTAGTTTTCTGTTCATTTCATGCTGTATAACATTTTTTGAGTGCCCCAAATTTGTAATCACGGGCAGGTGATACTCTGCATAGAGCAGCCACTCTGGGGTCTGCCTTTTTTTGTATTCTCTCTTGATCTTAATACAATGTCAACGTTCTCAAAATAAAAATAAAAAACCATCCTTTGGTGATGTGAGGTGTCTATCACATATGCAATGCTACTTTCTCTGGTTTTCCATGTTTATTAGTTTTGGAGGAAGGTCCATATTGATAATGTAGCATATCAAGTACATGTAAATGCACCAAAGAATTTTACTTTGCGCCTACACTATATATGTTTTGATATTTCTGTGTATTGGTTTTGTTAATGACAGTCTTAAACATTTGTTTCAGGTAAATCACAGCTTCAAAGGAGTTTCCACTTCGGCTTTCTTCCAAGATTGGAGCATAGTACTAAGCATAATCGCAAACGCCCTGCCCGGGCTTCCCTTTGGATCCCCTCCCACAGGTCGGCTTAAGCTTAACTTTGACAGATGTTCCCTCAGAAATCCAGGACCATCCGGAGTGGGAGCCATCTTTAGAGAACATCTAGGCACTACTGTGGCTTCCACTTCCATTCATATTGGCCATGCCAACTCTATGGAGGCCGAGGCGATAGCTCTTCTGGAAGGACTCAAGCTCCTCCAATCACTCTGCCTGAACTCCATCTCGATTGCAGGAGATTCGCAGAATACCATGTCGTGGTCCCTTGCGCATCTCTTTGATCAGATGCATTATTTGTGCAAGGATATGGACTTCTCTTGGATGCATACCTGGAGGGAAGGAAACCAGGAAGCAGACGCCTTAGCTAAAGAAGCAGCATCAATGGATGGATTTTAGAAGCTTCGTCGTCGGTCTTTTTTTGGATCAGTTTCTTTTTCTTGGTTGTTGTTTCTATACTGTAACCTTCAAAAATAAGGCTTTTGGATTCCTCTTTTGTTTTTACTTTCTTCTCTAGAGCATCCGCCCTTGTGGATTTGCCTGGTCTCTTGTACTCATATTTTTACTCAATTTAAGGTAACTTTATAAAAAAAAAAAACATTTGTTTCAGGTACAAGTTTAAGATCCAAATCCTGTCTTCTTCTTTTTTTTTGAGAATGTTTACTTGTAGTGAGGTAAAAAGATAATACAAAGGTTACCTCCCACAAGGATTGGTGAAGGACAGTAATACCCTTTACAGGGCCACAGAATATATATATATATATATATACTGTCATATTTTTTAGTTGTTATTCGTAGGTAAAAGTGTTATACTCAAAGAACTACTCCCTTATTTGGTTAGTTTGGGTTCGTAATATATGTATAATCATATTTCAGTTGCATATTGTGTCCAAGTTTTTGCTTTGTTTGTTAAAACTGTATTGTGTAAATCATTTTGTGGGGAAGCAGATACCTTTTTGTAATACTTCGTACTCCTAAAAAAACCTTATTTAGACAAAAAAATAACCACTTAGATGAGCATTGTATGAAGGAGAAAAGGTAGAGAGAAATATTTCTCGCACGATTTCAATTTATCAGTAGTTGATCCATGGTTGCTGAGAGGGTTCTTGAGGTTTTCATCAAATTTTAGCATCCTTTAACTACTGTAGAGTTTCCTTTGAACTTCTAACAACTGTGGCGTTAATTTCACATTTAGTCTGTTATCTCGGCATTGCTTTTTTAGAGGGCATTGCAATTTCCAGCAAATCCAAACTACAAAGTGCTCAGCAGTTCGTACCTATGGATTACTGGAAAGGTCCTCGCTGATAGCCCACCTCAGCTTAGATCAGCCCTTCAAGCTCTTCTCTACAAGGCATTTCTTCTCCCACTTGAGGCAACTGAATACCATGTTGCAAGATAACCAGAAGCATTTTGAACTTCGGCCTCTCATTTCTACATTTTATGAATATCAGGACGGGACGTTCAGAATTGATCGTCTTGAATCATTACTAACTGAGGTCAGATATCTGCTCTGATTAATACTTGTTGATTTAAATTGCATGATTACCATTTTAAGATGAGAGAGATGTCATGATTACTTCTTGAAAATTGGCCATTATTATGGTTGTTCATAGAATGGAAATATATATTAAGAAAAGCCCTTTTATCTAGAAGTTAATTAATATATTCTGAAACTTCTTTTTTTTTTAATCAATCTGCATTTTATTTTTCCCACTTTTCTGAGAAAGAAGCATATTTCTTGATCAGTTTCCTCAGAAATGTGGTTTCTGGCTATCATGGCATTCCTGCTGACAAATGCTGATCCGTTCTAAGTGTCTTTGCATTCTTTGCATCAGTCCTACAGTAGAGACCAGAGGAATCTTTGGCCAGGAGAGAACTGAAGGAAGCTGATTCTAGGATTGTTTTCAAGAACTTCTTTCCTTCACGCTGAGTGAGAAGGTAATGTCCTAGTAATTTTTCAAATCTTTCAGTCAAATATCACCTGAAATGAAATAAAAAAGCTCCAAACTGTAAGTGGCATGATTAGATTATATATATTTTATCTGGGAAACTATAAGTGCTCATGAGGTTGTCATGTTGGTTTTGGGAAGATAGAGCCACACACTTGACATAGTTAACATGGTAGCTCTTTGCGTGTGTATGTGATACTCTATAATACTCTATACTAATAATAAACCTAGAATTTTCGACTCCAAAATTTTTAATGACAAAATACCATTACAATTATAAAAATTGCATTTAGAATAGGTTTTTTGAAAATTTCGTGAAGGGATATTTGTAAGTTGCTTGTAACAACTAGAATGTTTGTAACAATTTTTTGCATTGAGGCTATTAGAGAGACCATTGTTGATGTCACCCAATAAGATCAATAACTTCATAAAGAGATGCATGATACATGTTTAATGACTTATCTTCAATACAGGATCCCCTGCCTTAAATTTCATCTGCTCGTAATCCATTCAAAGTGTTTGTTCATATGCTACGTTATGAATTTTTTCATCTATTGTTTCACATTTTGTCTAATAAAGTGGCATCCCTTTTTTCTCTCTCCTTTTGCTTTTCTGCTATAAGCTTCCACCTGAAATGCAGGGTCAGTTTTTCAATCTACTGGTAGAAATAGCTGGAAGGCTAGCATTTCGGATTGTAGCGAGAACCATCAGATCAGCTGTTCTGTAGAGATCTCGAGTGATCTAGTGGATATTTTTTTTATAGGAATACATATATCTCAAGTGAGATATCATCATTCTTTGTTGATTAGAGCTGCAATTTCTCTGATTGTGTGAATATATGTAAAAATAGACTTGTACCTATTCGTCAAATATTTGATTTATGAAACAAAATTATTTCTCAGGATGATTGCCAAATAGCAATTTTCCAAACACTTAGATTATACATGAGGTGATAATGTGTCTTGTTTTATGGTTATCTGTTTCTGCAGGTCGTCTTGATAATCATCAGCATAAGAATCAGAGAATCACAAAGTGTTCAAATCCAAGAATTACAAATTTAAAACCCCAAAATGACAATGTGTACATCTCTCTCTCTCTCTTTGTAGTGACAAGAGCTGAGTTGGAATTGCAGACCTAATGGTTGAGGCAAAGAGCTCCATATCACGACCCTGCTAGATGATTATTAAAGGAAAACCAAGACATTGTTCTTGCTGAATGGATGAAGGTTCATGCCACTTCATGCTCTCTCTCTCTCTCTCTCTCTCTCTCTCTCTCTTCCACTGCTGAAATGTATGAAGGCTCATGCCACTGTGTTCTCTCTCTCTCTCTCTCTCTCTGTTGAGCAATTGGGAAAGCAGGCTTAAAGTACAAACCAAATGGTTAACACAGAGCTCAATAATCAGATGCCCCTTGGCCATAACTCATAAAATAAATGGTATTTCACTGGTTTCCACTTCTACTTTGGCAAAAGATTCCAGAGCAAAACTAAAAGTCTGATTCAACTAGATAGAAGACTCTGGCTAGCATCAAAACTTTACACTGAATTTGTATTATTTTTCAACAAACAAGCAGCTCAATCCTCAAGAAAATCTTTTGATCATTTAAACATTTGAATTTTTTAACAGTTGTAATTTCAATTATGTACAGAAGCCTCACTGACCAAAGAAATGAAAAAACAAAACAATGGATGCATGCCAATTTGCACTCAATACTCATCCATATGAACATAATGACAGCACATATACATAATGAGATTAAAACAGGGGAGGAGAGAGAGAGAGACCCTGGTGGTTCCTGGAAATTAAGATAGCCTTCCATTGGATTTCTTCAAGCTTAGAACACTCTTAATTCTTTCAAGTGCCTGCTCAACCAAACAGAAAGTGTGGATTTCCTCAATAACCTAATATAAACCAGAACTTGACTTAATATGGAAAAAGTGTGAAAACAAAGAAACAAGAAATCAAAAGAAAAGAAAAAGGGCAAGCCTAAAGACGAGAGCAAATGATGCAACAGAAGGAAAATATTGGAAGGAAAAGTATATTTTGGAAGATAATAATCTTGAAATTATAACTTGGAAGATTGTTAACATGCCTCAGTTGCGATAGCTGTTGGAGTGAGAGTGGATACATCATTGTGTCCCTTTTCAGCAGCAATTTCTGCAGCAATAAACCAATGCATGATGAGTCCTTTCGTACCAAGGAGAAAGAAAGAGTACTTTTTACAAAGAGTCTTCATAGACATAAGTTATCATTCCTGTAAGCTAGTAATTTGGCCATGCATCTCTCTCTCTCTCTCTCTCTCTCTCTCACACACACACACACACACATGTGTGCACACGTGTTTGTCATGTTAAACAGAATGAAATGCATATCATCAAAGGCCATGCCCTCATTTGTGTATGGTTTTCAGAGACAATCAACAGTTGGAACTCAAATTTAGAAGGTTTCAAATATTGACGCTGTGCATTTCAGGACTTACGAAGCAAAGAAACCCTTGCATCTGCATTGGCATATGCTTCACCTCTTTCCTTGAACAATGCTGTGAGCCGTAAATAGGCCTGAGAAAGCAAGATAAGCCATGCACAATCAAATACCATCTCCTTTTATTATACCCTTAGAATCATAGAGAGAGAGAGAGAGAGAGAGAGAGAGAGAGAGAGAGAGAGAGAGAGAGAGAGAGAGAGAGAGAGTAGAGAGAGTAACGACGTAACGTAACGAACGTAACGTAACAACGTAACGAACTAACAACGTAACTAACGTAACTAACGTAACGTAACGTACGTAACGTACGTACG